GGTTGGACAAGCTAACCCCTCTGAGGCGCCATCTTCTCCTCTGTGACGTAGACACATTAATACCGTTCACCTCATAGGATGGCGGTGAGGATAAAATGAGCCAAGTGAACTCATTTGGTGGTGGAGTTTACATCCCCACAGGACAAATACCCGTCTTCATTATGAATAGTGTTACTACAATGTTTTATCTCTTTCTTCCCAAGCTTTTTTTTAGTTGACGTACAGTCAGTTACAATGTGTCAACCTCTGGTGTATAGTATAATGTCCCAGTCATGCATATATATACATATATTCATTTTCACATTCTTTTTCACTAAAGGTTATCACAAGATATTGAATACAGTTCCCTGTGCTATAGAAGAGATTTGGTTTTTATCTATTTTTATATGTAATGGTTTCCAAGTCTTTTAGTTATAACCAGCTTGAGTTGTAACAAGCATTTATTTCTTTAAACTTTCGTCTAGTATTTTTTCCTGATTATACTGCAAAAAAAAGATTAGGCATTGCAGAAAAGCAGAAAGGTGGAAATAAAAAAACCTCAATCCCACTGTCTAGAGATAGCCGCTGTTAACAGTGCGCCGTGTATTGGTCAGTTGGGAAGTTTTTTAATCAACCAGCAGAGTCACAGATTTGTGGGACTGGAAGCAACCACGATGACCATGTGGTCTGAGTTCCCTTTGATTCCCAGCGGTTGCTTCAAGCCCACAGGCTGGACTTCCTGACCACCTTCATCTGTATTTCTCTGGCCTCACGCTGGAGGGGAAAGGTCACTTGAAACTTTCGTTGCCAGGTTGCAAGTTTTGTTTTATTTATTAGGATTGCGTTAGGAGGCTCCAGGTTCTGTGTGTCAGCCTCGTGTGTCTCAACAGGGAAAGCAGAGGATGCTGGGAAATATTATTTGGCTCCGTGAGAGCCTTTGAGAGAGTGAGGGGGAAGAAAATTACTCTTTTATTGTGAGGTTTGCCAAATGATCTCTGAGGAGCTGTGATATCATTCATAGGCTGTGCCAAGCTGGAGGGAAACGGCTCATCTTGGCAGACATCTAGAGTGAGTGTCTAATTCCTCGGGTTGGTATGAGCCTTTATCAGAACTAGTTCCATAGGCAGTATTTACATAACTGTGGTGGAGTGTGAGAATAAACACAGCTGTGGCATTGCCCTAAATGTTTCTATTCAGCAGGGAATTAAAAGAGAACTTTATCGCTGAACTACAGATAAACACAATTCATCAAGCAGCGGTCAGTTCAACTGGGGAACAAAATAGGAGTTATGAAAGACTGGCCTACTGAAAATAGCTCCAGTCAGCCGGCCTGACTTCACTGCTCCTTCTCTTCCTCCCTCCCTCCTTTCTCTTCCCCAGTTCCAGAAATGTCGGGCTCATCAGCTAGCGAAGAAGTTGTCTCGATTTTATTTTTACGCCAGGCAGGAAGTGGCAGGCACTTACTGAGTATAGACCTACTGTGAGCCAGCATGCTTCCGGGTGCTTTGTAGAGGTCCCTCATTTCAGAAGGTCCCCTTTTTCTTTCTGGGTGATAGAACTGAATGTGGGTGGGGGCAAGATTATTTTGCCAAGGAGAAAACTTTTTAACTCCGATGTGTGTTGAAATGGAAGCAGTATTGCCACAGTTTTAAGTGATCTGCATCTTACAAATTCCTTGAAGCATCCACATATATTCTTTTAAATACAATTTTATTTTTTATTTGTTTTTTTGGAGGGGAGGCAGGGAGAGGTAATTTTGTTTGTTTGTTTAGTAATGGAGGTACTGGGGATTGAACCCAAGTATTTACTGTTTGCTTTAGAATGTAGAGCTCATTGCTATGAAAAGAAAAAGTTTGCACTCTTCTTCCTTCTTCCCCTTTGGATTTGGTTGTGGTGAGGGAGAAGTGAATGCAGATCACTGAATTCTTTCATTTATTTATCGCACACATAAATGACATTTTTTTCTGTGCCAGACCAGCTAGCAGTTCTTCACCCACCATCGTTTCTGGTGGCTTCATGCTCCCTTATGCTGTCAGTCAGAAGCTCTTTCTCACTCTCCTGTTGTTGCTGACCCCTATCTTGAGTTCAGTCTGTCTTTTTAGAACTGGGAGCTGCAGCTTTGTCAGAAAGAATGGTCTTCTCTAGGAGGAGGGTATAGCTCAGTGGCAGAGTCCATGCTTAGTATGCACGAGGTTGTGGGTTCAATCCCCAATAGTTCCGTTAAATAAAATAAAACATAAAAAAAAAATTTTTTTAAAGGGAATTGCCTTCTCCCTCTTCGCCCAGACCTATGAGTTCTTTCTAGGCTGCTTGTTCACAGCCCCAAACACTTGCCCTTTACATGTAGGACAGGCTCTTTCCAGAAGCTTACTTCATCCCAAGCCTTGCTTGGTGCTTTTAAGATGTGTCCCCAAATTCTTTGACTGTCTTCCCTTCAAGAGGTGAAGCCTAATTCTGTTCCTCATGAGTGTGCATTGGATCTAATGACTCATCTCCAACACAAAGAATGAACTGCAAGTGATGGGTTACGACTTTGGATGCCAAGTCATAAAAGGAATAGTAGTTTCTTCTCACTCTCTGGGGGTAACTGGCTTCCACATCATGAGGACACTCAGGCAACTTCTGTGAGATAACACAGTTGGAGTTTTCAGCCGCTTCATTCTGGGGCACTTTGTTACTCAGCAGAGGATTACGAATACATTCTCTGAGAGCCTTCTGTTGTGTTGCCCTTCTGGTGACAATCCCCTGCAGACATAGGTAGTTCTTTGAGGGGTTTGAGCTTGGGCTCAGAGAGGCCTGCCGTGATCCTTTGTCTGTACAATTTGTGGAACATTTAAAGCATTTACCTGGGCCTCAACCTCTGGAAATTCAGTAGGTCTGGGATGGGGTCCAGACATCTATAGGTAATTAAATGATTGAAAAAAACAAACTATTCCAGGGTTCCTGAAGAGTACTTTTGATTGAGATTCTGTTGCTTTTTTTTTTTTTTAACTATAAAAACCCAGAGGCCTCTCTATTCCATGTCCTCTGTGTTCTTTCTTTGAGACTGACGAGGAGGAGGTCGGTTCACCTTTCAGCGTGTCCACCTCAACCACCAGGGACCCTGGGAAACAACCAAGCTCAGTGCTTTGCTCTTATGAACCCGCTGAGCAGCCCTTCTCAAACTTAAACGGAGTGGGGATCGCTGGGCATCACCCCCAGGATTCCTAATTCAGCGGGTTCAGGTACGAACCGAGCATTGACGCTTCTGATAAGTTCCCAGATGATTCTGCTGCTGCTGGTCTGTGGCCGCACTTCGAGAACCATCACTAAAAAGCGTAGGACCTGGTATTTAAACTTTGCCCCCGAAATAGTCCAAGATCCTCCCTAGATTGCAGGCAACGACAACAAATGAAAACAAACAAACAAAGCCTCATCCATTTTCCCTGAAACAAAAGTCACCCATGGTGACAGAAATCCTCATCGTGGTCATTTGTGGGGAACTGGAAAGGGGGATGGAAGGGTCATCTGCGATGCTTCTCATGTTCTGTTTCTTGATCTGAGGGGTGGTTACACGAATATGTTCCCTTTGTGAAAATGTATTTAAACTGTACTCTACAATCTGTGCCCTTTTCTATCTAAATGTTCTATTTTAAAAGCTTACTTAAAAGTTAATAGTAATGATAAACGTTGTCAAAATCTGGGGAAAACGGGCCTCTTCACTAGCCTGTCCTTCTGTTTGCAAGTCATCTCTCCTCTGGGTTATGTGGGCAACCCAACAAAGAAATTATTTTTTCTTTCTTTTTTGCTGGCATCATTTTTGTATGCTCCTGTGTGTGTGTAATACCCTGGGAATGACCACTTCCCAAGCTGTCATTTTTTTTTTTTTTAACAAACCCAGGTCTTCAGAAGAAAACATTTTAAGAGAAATATTTACATGTTTTAAATTCCTAGAACAATGGATATTGATAGAATAATTTGAAAAGCAAGTTGAGCTCTTATTAATACGTTTGGAGAATCCTAGTTTGTGTTTGACTGTTCAACTTTACTGAAGAGTAAGAACTTTGGAAGGAGAGAAAAACTTACCCTAGACGGACTGCCCATTTCTTTGAAAAGTGCCTAAAGAGTCCTGAGATTTTTTTTCTTCTGGGTGAGGACAAATGTCACCAAAAAAATTCCCTGTTTCATTACCTAAAACCTTTGGAGTCTTAGCAAAGAGCCTTGTTTTGCACATTTCTTACAAAAAAAAATGTATATATATATATATGGCTAAAACTTCCTTAGAGAAATTTCACTTTTTAAATAATTCTTTTTCTGTAATTTAAGTTTATGGGTAAAAGGTTTACTCACTCTAAAAGGTTGGTTTCAAATGTAAATTAGACCAGGTTACATTGGGATTTATGATTTTCAGGTGATATGCAAAATTGTCATTTTAAACTCAGGAGCTAAGGAGGACACTGTTGGGCATATTTATTGGTGTTGATGACTTGAGACAGCTGTGGAGGACAATGGATGCCCCACCTTGGGTGGCGTCCAGTCTAAAGGAGAGGCATTGTAAGATGGTAAGGAAATGTGTCACAGAATACAAAGTGGTCATCTTTGAAGCCAAAATATTCACAATCAATGCTGAGCAGTAGGATTAAGCAAGTGGGTAGGTTTTTCAATCTGATTCCCACCAGCAGCAGCAAGGATGTGAGTATACTGTTAAAATCCTCTGTGGACTGAGAGGTAAGGCAGTTAATATCAGTTCACAGTTTGGAAGTCTTGATGTGACACTACTAATAAGTCACGCAGACATTCTTAATTCAGGTGAATGGGTGGTTGAATAGCTGTGCCCCCAGTACCTCGAATGATGCCCGGGCACAGTGAATATTTGTGGACGAATGAGTGAGTGAATGAGTGATGGGGCCATTCAGGTAAACCATGCAAAATGGACAAAGTTTAAAAGTGAGAGTAAAGAATCTGTTCACCTTGGAGGCCAGGACTTGAGGAGGCATGATCTGCCAGGGAACCTTCTAATCCTTTACTCTTTCTTCCTCTAGGCAGCTTGAAATCCACTCTCCAGATGCTAAGCACACGGTGGTCCTCAGGAGCAAGGACTCAGCCACCGCCCAGGCCTGGTTCAGTGCCATCCATTCCAACGTCAGTGACCTGCAGACCCGAGTGGTCGCCGAGGTCCGAGAGCAGCTGGGGAAGACGGGCATTGCTGGGAGCCGAGAGATCAGGCATCTTGGCTGGCTTGCAGAAAAGGTAAGGGAAAGGCTCGCCCTGTAATGGTCATTTTCCCCAGAGTTTCTCAGTACTGGCTGCAACCACTGAAGTCAGGTACCTCATCCCACAGGCTGATTCTCTCATTTGGATCTCTGTCCGTCTCCAACAGGTTTGCCTTTGTATCACACAGGGGCTGTGTCTTCATCAACTTTGATCCCCCCACATACAGTCTAATACGTGGCAAAGTGCAGGTGGTCACTAACTGTCTGTTGAATGGATGAATGAGTGAGCAAGTGGCCAGACAGTCTGACTCCCATATGCACATGTGACGGGCAGGGGAAATATCTCAAACTCACAACAGAGCTGTCACCTTGGGAGGTATGGAAGTTGATGCTTAAAGAAGGGTTTATGTGGGTTTTAGTGAACCTGCTTATTAACGTGGATACAGTTACAAATAATAGCAAAAATAATAACAGCAAGATTTTCTTAAGCAACTACTCTGTGCTGACTCTTTTCGTATATTTAATTTGTGTTCTTAAGCCAGCAGGCCCTGAATGTCATCATTTATGAGCACCTATTTTTGCTAGGCAGGAGGGGAAGGGGTGTATAAAGATAAATAAAGACTTACCCTCTTTCCCCAGGGAAGACAGCTGCTATGGAAACGACCTTAGGGTCATGGTAACACTGTCACTTTGATTTCTTTTTCTAAGGGATGTGATATGTTGGAGATAGTAAAACTCACTTTGCAACCATCTCCTGGGAGTTAACCCTTCTCTTCATTGCAGAGGACTGAGCCTTTGCCATTGTCCTTACACTTGATTGCTGTCCTTTGAACTTGACCTTGAGTCTCAGGAACACTGGGTTTTGGGGACGTCTGACCTCCCAGTGACTCACATTCTAATAGATGGTGAATGGGAATGATTGTCACAATTAACAACTTTCCTGCCAGTGAACCATGTCACCTGAGAAAGCCCAGGCAAATGGCACTTGAAAATAATACTTGAACCCAGCATTTGGCCGTTTTCCACCACTGTTCTTTGTTTGCATCAGTTCATGCATGGGTCTCAGCCACAAAGTTCAACGCAAAGTGAGTTGTTTGATTTGGTATTGTCCCATCTCTCACACATTTCAGAGGATCAAAGGGACAATGCAGGTGGTGGTGGCAACAAGATCATAATAAACAAAAACCACAGGTAGCCTCTCTTGACCTTATGCATGAGGGTTCTTGATGAAAACAACACTGCCAATCTGAATGATACCATTTTAGGAGTCGCAGTCTCTAACACTCTGCACTTTTCCTCTCTCCAAATGCATGTGTTTCTATTAGGAGAAGACCTATTAGTCAGGGAGCTTTCAGTTGCAAAGTAACAGAAAGCTCAACTCAGCTTGAGCGAGAAAGGGGGCGTATCATTTCTGATAACTGTAGAGTCCAAGGGTAAGCTTCAGGCATGATGGGATGCAGGGACTTAACTAATGATAACAGGCCTGCCTCTCCATCTCTTTGCATTTTGTCCACTTTGTTGATTGATACACAAGTAAGCCCCCTTTTCCTTGGCCCAAGAGTTCCAGGCTTGTGGGTTTTTGTTTTGTTTTGTAGTTTACTGTCTCAGTGAATAGAAGCCTCTTTGCTCCCATGGTTCCAACAAAAGTTCTAAGATCAGCCTTATCCAAACCAGGTGCCCTGACTGATGAGGAGAGGTGGTACATTAATGGAAAATTAGGCTGCTGTGTAAGGAAAAGACTGAATGAATTCTGGGAAAGCAAAAGTAACGGTTATTCGCTATAGAAGAAAAAGAGGAGGAATTGATCGGGATGAAGAATGTTCTCACTTAATTCAGGTCCTGGAGGTACTGTGCACTTTAGGGTCCTGGTAGAAGACCGATGGCAAACTCAGAAGGGGTAATTGGAAGGGATATAACACAGCCATGACTTAGGTGTCAAGTGTGTGTGGTGTGGCCAAGGTAAGGGAAACCAGTAAGAAATGGAGAAGCACTCCAGAGCTAAACAGTGAGAGGTCACTACTATTCCTTAACCCGAAATGTCCAGGAAGAGGAGCAGTCACCTGAAACTGGCAAGACTTGTAGCTGTAGAAAAGGGCCACCCACTAAGAGATGTCGTCTGCCAATTCCTGCCTGCTGATCTCTTGCTGATGTCTCCCATTGGCTGAGGCTGATGGAAGCCAAAGGCAAGGGAGCCCCACTGATGCTCTCTGTTAAATTAAGGTCAGCCTCCCAGGACTCCAACCAGGGCAGAAAAGGGTGGAGCCTGAATCTGGAGGCTAAGGGATGCTGTCCAACACACATGACCTTCTACCTACCAAGTATCTGAGATGGTCTCAACTCTAGAAGGTACTTTTCTCTCATCTCTTTTAACACAAAGTACATTTAAAACCATTGCCATTTAGATAGTTCAAAAACAGCATTGTGTCATTATTAGTGATGTTGAAATTTTTTACCAAAGATTCCATTTTCTCACTTATAAATTGTCTGCTTATGCCTTTTGCTTGTCCCAAATTATCAGTAGATACATTAGGCATTTCCATGGAGCAGTAATAAAGGTGCATGAAAAGCTTTCTGTTTTTCGAATGTTACTGTTCTTTTGATATAATTTCAGATTATCGTTACAGATGTTTCTTTAAATTGTATTATGCATTACGTCCATAAGAGCAATAATGACTTAACATGGACAGTTATCAGAAGCAAGAATGTCTTTTATTGCCTTCTACTCCAGAACTTCTTAAAAGATTACCATAGATCAAGTCTAAGGGAACAAATCCAAACTGGAAATTTTTTGAATAAATATTTAATACTGAATCCTACTGTGGCGATGTATGAATGGTTTTTTAGCCATTCTTAATACATGGCTTTCTTATATTATCATAAATATCAGGATGCCCTTGGTATTTGTAAAGATATAAAGTATGATCCTATATATGTTCAGCTGTAATTTACCTTAAATTGCTATCCTTTGTCTTTTCCTATGCTGTTAATCTTTGATTTTATGGATTAGTAAAAGTAGCTCTAGGACAAGTTTTGCCCATATTATATTCAACTTCAAGTTTTTAGAACCGGTATTTACATGAACTAAAATAATATGAAGCAACAATGTTCCTTCTAAAATCCTGTCCAGTGCAAATCCTAAGGCCTTCTCTACACTATGCAGAGGAAAAACTTTATATTCATATTATTCTTCTCTGTGAGGTGGTCTGGGGACTAGAGGAATGGCTCTCAAGAAATGACTAAGTCTGGAGTCAATGGGGAGAGTTCAGTACACTCCAAGAGAGGGGACTGATTGTGAGAGGAAAGTGGAGGTAGTAGGTTAATACACTTTGTAGGGAGGGCAGACCAGAGACTGGTCTAAAGGGAAGCGGGGTCCTCCTGAAGGAAGGTGACCTTGGATGGCATCCAATTATGGAACATCTTGGAAACCGGACCGATGGTCTGCTTTTGATTTGGTGGCAATAGGAAATCTTCATATACAAAATCAGAGAGAAGGGAACTTAGAGGTGACTTCTATGGACTGAATGTTTGTGCCCCTCCCAAAGCCGTAAGGTGAAGCCCCAACCCCTAGTGTGATGGAATTTGGAGGTGGAGCCTGTGGGAAGTAATGAGGTTTAGATGCAGTCGTGAAGACGGAGCTCCATAATGAGACTGCTGCCCTGATAAGGGATGAAGACACTAGAGTGTTCTCTCTCTCTCTCTCCCCACCATGTGATGATACAAGAAGGTAGCCTTCTCCAAGCCAGGAAGAGGGCCCTCACCAGAACCGCATGTTGACACCCTGATCTTGGACTTCCAGCCTCCAGAACTGTGAGAAATAAATGTTTGTTGTTTAAGCCACACAGTGATGATGGTCTGCTCTTGTAGCCATAACTAAGACAGTGATCTAAACCAGCCTCTTCTTTCTACGGATGAGGAATCTGGGACCTAGAAACTGGAAGGTGTTTTATTTATGGTCACACTCTAAATCAAGGAATAATTGGAGAATGGGACAATGCTGTAATATCTCTTCCATTTAATTTTCAGAAGAATCTACCGCAGCATCATTTGTTGGAATCAATTTAATTCTTTCCTTGAACTCTGGCAGCCGTTCTCTGAACTGTTCAGACTCGAGGTCAGCCGGGGACCAAGAGCCTTTGAGTGGGGTGCTTTCCCTTGTCCCCTTGCCTTCCTGGCGCTGTGAGCCACACCACAGTGACAGGTGCTGTGCTGCTTCCCCTCTGAGCGCCCTCCCCTGTAGATGGACCGGGTCCACCACTGTCCGCTCTTTCCCACGATCATATTAGTCTCAAACCTTTTAACTCCTTGCAAGCCCCAGTCGCCCCAAGAGGGGTCCATGAAGGCTCATCCCTACCCTGAACTATAAAATGCATTTTGCCCCAAACAGATTTTTTTCAATCATCATTCTTTAATCATTTTTCAGTTATTATTGAGGTGTTTTCAATGGTCCAATTTCAGACAAGAGAAACATAGAGAAAATAAAGAATATTAAAGAAAGTAAAATAAAGAAAAATAAAGAGAAAAAGTAAAAGATCTGACCCTGTTGATACTTTCAAAAAAACAATAATAAACAGGGACATGGCAGAATTGTTCAATTCTGTTTTATCAGCTGTTGTCTTTGCTTTTACCTTGTTATCTCAGTTTGCAAACTATTTCTTGTCAGATTAAAAACATAAAAACGTAACAGGATTGAAAAAAAAAAAACCTAGTTGGGAGCTCTGAGATGCCAGCTCAATTCTCAGCTTTCCTCATTTCCACTGAAGTTTCTTTCAAATGGGAACATTTATAGAGCTGTGCCTCCCCAGGGTGTTGTTGGAGGGGAGGAAGCTGGTAATTAGTATTTATTATGTGCCTAGTCTGTTTCAGGCAAGGCGCTTTAAATAATCTCTGTCCTAGGAGGCAAGCTTGGAGAAGTTAAGTAACTTTCCTAAAATCACTCCTCTAGTAAGTGAGAGCCAGAATTTGAGCCCCTCTTTCTCAGTCCACAGCCCAGAACTTTCCACTAAGCTGAGCTAATACAAGGGCCCAGGGAGTATGTGT